CACCAGGGGCGCCCCGCCCCGCCCCGCGCTCCGGACCCCCGACGGTGCAGACGCGCGCAGCCCCCCGCCCCAAGGGCTCCGGGGGACGGTTTCCAGGGCCCTTGGAAACCGCGGGCCCCCTGGGGTACGGGCCCCCTGGGGTAAGAACCCAGGCTTTGGGGGCCCGACGGCCCGGTGAACTGTAGGTTCGACGGTACCAGCCGCGCCGGTTCTCCGGCTTGGAAAACGCGGCCCTGGAGGGCGCCTCGCGGGGGCGCTGCGGGAGGGCGGTGCTGGCGCTGGGCAAACACCCTCCGTGAAGTTTGGAGCTTTGTCTGGGATTCGTCCCGCGGCGACCAGAGAGCTGGGAGGAGCGTCAGGGCTCGAGCCTGGCGGCCTCCGCCTGCACCCTCTGCTGCTGGGTCCCCTTCTGAGCTCTTCCAAGGAGACCTGAGGACCCCTGTCCCAGCTGGTCTCCTGGGCCATGCGCCGGCTTGTTCCTGACCCTGGGAAGGTTCACCACCCTAGGGGCACTTAAATGACAGCTGGGGTACCACAGCCTAACACCCCCACACGCTGCGATCAGGCTCTTCTCCCTGGCTCCCTTCTGCTTCCTGCCCCTCGCCCTCCTGACCCGGCTTGGGTCCCCCAGGTCACTCATTCCCCTGCTGATTATTTGGCCAGGAGGTCACTGATCCCAGGCTTTGATGCACAACATCCGGGCAGAGGAGTGAACTAGAAACAGCCTCTCCGCTAGCACAGACCCCAGACAGGCGTCTCTTTCCTGCCCGTTGGACGGCCTGAGACCCGGGTAAAGCGGGCAGCCGGCGGAGTCCTGGAAGCGACAGCTGGGTCTGCAGCCCAGTCCTCCCTTGCCCAGCACCGGCTCTTAGAAGATCTAGGGAGCGTGCTTTGGGAGTCCAGATGTAGCTGAAGAAATAATCCCAGAGCCCGGCCGGGTGTGGCTCAGCGGTTGAGCGTCGACCTGGGATCCAGGCGCTCGGGGTTCGATTCCCGGTCAGGGCACAGGCCCGGGTTGCGGGCTGCAGCCGATCAATGACTCTCTCATCATTGATGTTTCTCTCTCCCTCTCTCTCCCCCCTTTCCTCTCTCTGAAATCAATAAAGATCTGTTTGGGGAAAAAAAAAAAAAAGAATCCTAGAACTAAAGAGTGACACAGTCAAGTCTGAGCGAGAGGTGGCAGGAGCGAAAGGAGCTCAGCAGAGCCGAGGAAGATCGTTGTGAGCTGCGGTGAGACTGAAGAGTGCGTCAGAGAGCCGGGCCTGAGCCGGGCGGGGAGGCGCGGGGAGGATCTGGAATGTGAGGCGTGTTCGCAGGGGAGCAGGCGCCCTCGACACAGGGTTAGGAAGGCGAGGCCGGGAAACAGCGCGGGGCTAGCTCTCTGGCGAGACAGATGCGACCTCGGAGTGGGGGAGTGTCACCGGGCTGCTCAGAGTGACCCCTGCTGACTTCCCGAAGCCAGGAGGCCGCCCTGGAACTGGAGACTCTGGGCGGTGCTTCAGAGGCCAGGAGCGTGAGCACGGCCAGGCTTCTGACTGTCACAGGAGGAACTCCTGTCCGCCCTGTAGGACTGACACCCTCTGGGACACCTGGACGATGGTGAACGGAAGCCCCACGCTCCTCTGTGGGTAGAATGAGGGCAAGACTCTCCTTCCTCCCCCCACTCACCATGTGCTTCACGGCGGACACGATCTGGGAGAAGATGAGCTTGCTCTCGGGCTCCGAGAGCTTCCCTTCGGTGCTGATTTTCCCAAACAGCTCGCCGCCCCCTGCGTACTCCATCACCAAGTGGAGCTTGGACAGGGTCTCCACGACTTCGTAAAGGCGGATGATGTTGGGGTGGTGCAGCTTCTCCATACTGGAGATTTCGCGGGACAGCAGCCTTTGGGTTTTCTGGTCTAACTTGGTCTTGTCCAGGATCTTAATGGCCACCTTTTCTGGAAAGAAAGAAAAAAAGTCAAAGGATGTGGCAGTGTCCAGCCGCTCCTCAGCCACTCACTGCTGCCGCCCTGGTCCAGGGCACCGTCACCTCTTGCCTGGATTACTGATCTCTCCTTTTCTGCCTTTGATCCCTCGCAGTCTAATTTCAACAGAGCAGCCAGGGCGATCCTCTTAAAGCACAAGCCAGATCACAGCGTTTCTCTGCTCCCCCCAAGGCTCTGGTGTCACTCAGAGGAAAAGCCAGCGTTCGTGCTATGACATCTTGGTCCCACACGACCAGGTCCCGGCTGGTGTCTGCCCTCATCCCCCTCGGCCGCTCCTCGAGTACACGGGACACGCTCCCACCCTGGCGCTCTCAGGCTTGCTGCCCCCTCTCCCGACCACTCTCCCTCACAGGCATCCATGGCCAGGTCCCTCATCTCTCTCTGTCCAATGGTCACCTCCTCGGCAAGGCTGTCCCTGGCCAGCTCGCCTAGCTCGGCCGCGCTCGGTGCTCCTGTCCCCCTTCCTGCCCTGTTTCCTCCTTATCACTACCGACCGCGATGACTATTTCACTGACTGACTGGTCTGTCTCCCTCCTAGAGCACAAGCTCCACACGCCAGAGACTGTCGTCTGTTCTGTTCCTGCGGCGTCTTCCGTCCCTAGAGGAGGGCCTGTGACCCAGGAGATGCCCGGTGAGTACCCGTGGAAGGAACGATCTTATGCAGGCCGCGCAGGAACGCAGGGGGGCGGCCGCCTCGCGTGGGCGCAGTTTTGTGCGCTGCTTTCTCGTTTACTGTCCTGCCTCGCGCGTCTTCCACGTTGCCACACCGTCTTCGCTGTCGAGATTTTGGGTGGCTGTGTGACCCCACGTCCAGCGTGTGCGCTTTCATTCATGTGGCCACTACTATGTTGCTGGATTATATAAGTTACCGCCGGTCCGTTGCACTACGAGTAACACCACAATGAACATTTTTTCGGTTATCGTATTTCTAATATTGGACTTATTTTTAGGATGGAGACACAGAAGCCACTTACTATTTTTTTAAAAAAGAAAACGTGGTTTTTACTTGCTTTTTAAAAAATATTTTCAAGAGGAGAGAGATCTTTTTTTCCTTCTTTTTTAAAAAAAATCAGTGATCTTCTCTATTAAGCTTCGGTGAAGACTGAGTTAGCTCTCCAGCCCGGCCCGCTTGAGAGATTAGGGCACAGGGAACCTCCCAGAGAGCACTGCCCTGCGTTGCTCCCTCCAGTCTCTCTTCCCACCAATGCTAAATTTTCTTGAGAAGCTAGTGTGCCAACTTAACTCACCAAACACTTGTTAAATGCTTATTATTTATAATGCCTGTGGGGGAACTCCAAGGATCAATATGAGACAAGGTCTGGCACCAAGGAGCTTGTAACCAGGACACCCAAGACTTTTACCAGACCCTGGATTTGCTAAGCTCCGAGCCTTGGTTTCTCATTCATACTTTCTCTTGGGCTCCGAGATGGCTGTTGGACTCATTACTTCATGACTTCCATGCACCTCCAAGTCTTTACTGTCAAACCCATTTGTTCTGTATACACTACTGACTGCTAATTTTCAAAGCTGGAGACCTGGGAGCCTTCCCCAGTTCCGCTTGTCCCTTGTCTCCCCCATTCTCCCTCATCCAGACGACAAGGTTCTCCAGTCTCCTAAAATATTTCTCAGACGCACCGCCTCCTCTCCAACCTCACTGCCATTCCTAAGTTGAGACGGACATCATCATTCACCTGGACCACTGGACTAATATTTTATTCTGACTTCCCTGGCTCCTGTCACACCCCGACCTCCAGTTCACCTTCCTCGCTGAAATAAAAATCTCTTAAATTACTTGTATTAATTGCTTGCTTTAATTTCTTCAATGGCTCCCTGACACCAAAATGACACAGTCCAAATATGCAAGAAGGTCCTCCAGGACCCAGCCCCTGCCGACAGCACCCACTGCACACCCCACTACCCTGCGTGTGCGTCCCAGGCTCCAGCCTCGGTGAACTGCTTTCAAATCTGCAAATACTCCCCAGACGGGCTCACACCTCCATGCGCTTCACACCCTCTCTCTGCCTGGAATTCCCTCTCCCCTGTGTCCTGTCTAATGTCTCCTCAGACCTCACGATCCAACACAAGCTTTCCTGGTCAACTCACCCTTTCCTGACACCCCAGGGCACAGCTGGGCCCACCCTTTGTGCCTTATTGGGTGACAACACTGATCAATTGTTTCCTGTCTGTCTCCATCACACAGTGTGACCCCCTTGGGCTAGAACTGTATCTCTCCCATCTCTGTAAAGGCCCAGAGCCAAGTGTGGGTGCGGAGAGTGTATTATATTAACGGGAGGAGTAGACAAGCTGGTGAGTAACTTTGGGAGAGGAGAGGAGAGGAGAGGAGAGGGCTCCTGAAACATGAGACAAGGAGAGGAAGACGGGAGGAGAGGTCGGGAAGGGCAGGGGAAGGAAAAGGGATGGATACTGCTGCGGCTTTTACTTTTGTTTGTGACAACAGATGGCACATAAAACATTCAGAAGCCCAGTGCGTCATCTCTTTTGAGAAATTTCTAATCGGTCTGCTTTCTAATCACGAGGGCTCCAGCCTGCCCTATCCGCTTGCAAGGCCCCCGGGGGAACCTGAGCTCTTAGCCACAAAAATAAATGCCAGCCAGCAGGGGCCTGTGCCGGAGCCGTTTTTCTAGAGATCAGAGCAGCTGGAGCCTTTTTATTTATTTATTTTTTAAAATATTTTTTAATTGATTTTTTTAAGAGAAGACGGGAAGGGAGAGGGGGAGAGAGAGAAAAACGAGCCCACAGCTTGGGCGTGTGCCCCGACCGGGAATCAAACCAGCAACCTTTTGGTGCCCAGCATGAGGGTCAACCAGCTGGGCCAACCGGCCAGGGCGGCTGGTGCCTTTTAAAAACCACTGTCCTGGGAGCTGCCCCTGGCACAGAAACCCTCTGCCTTCCCAGGAAACTCCTCCCTTCTCTTATCCTAGGAAGCCTGTGACAATCCTGAGCAAGCTGGCTTCGTATGGGGACGGCATTGATAGGAGTCGCAATCCGTATGCCCGAGTCCGGCAGGGCCCGGCTGTGGGAAGGGCACCGACATTCCCAGCCAGGCTTCCTAACACTCACCAGTGACGCCCCTTCCTCTTTTAGAGCTACAGCTTCTCGGGGAATGCTCCCCCTTTCTTTCCACCCGGTCTGTTCAGAGTAGCCAAGTGTCCCCTCTGCATTTCCGAGCCACAGTCTTTCCGTCTGGACTCTGCCGTCCTGCCCGAGCCGTCTGTCTGCCTCGCCTCACCTGGGCTTGCCCCTGGTGTCCCCTCCTTCCCCCTTTTCAGCTCCTCTCAGCCTCATTTTCCTACCCTTTCCTCCGCTCGGGGCTCACTGGGGGGTGGAACCCCAGGAGAGGATGAGGCATGGTGCCAGGACTGGGGTGTTACGGGAGGGCCCGCGAGCCGGGATTCCTTTCCCTGTCGCGTTGGTCTGATGTGCCCAGGTGCCTGCGGGTACGTCCTCTGGCCTGTTTGAACTTGCTCGTTGATCCCATTTCCCCAATGCCTGTGCTTTTGACCTTCCTTCCCTTTGGCACCATTGTCCCGTGACCAGAGGATAACTTGTACCTCGGACAATAGAGCAGGTTAGCAGTGAGGATCATGTGCCACCAAGGCCACCACAGTGCCCAGTGGCGCTGCAGGAAAGTGCCGTGCTCTCCGAAACTCGAGGGACTAGAATTAACTTAATTTCACGATACAGCGGCAGCCTGCGGAATTCAGGAAGGGGGTCACTGCACAAACACCAGCCGCTGCTTTCTTTCCACCTCACCCTGGAGCCCCTCGGGAATTACACGCCTTCTGTGCTGACTTCCCGCTGCTGGCCGTCTCTACAGCGGATGTGCCTGGTCATGTGCCTGCCCCTCTTTGCCGCCCTCTGCTCGCCATCCACGACACACTTGTCTGGACCTTGGGCTCTGCGGAGGCTGGGACCCTAAGGGCTGCTGCTGACTCGACACAGGATGCCCTTGACTCCAAGGTGGCCCATCATCGGTTGGCCAGTGAGCAATCATACGGGGGGAGGGGGGGAAAGCAGGTCAATAATAATAGTAATAATAAATAATAGCACCATAATAAATACTTAAATAAATAAGTAAGTAATAATACAAGCAAGTAAGTATGTGTTTCACATACTCACAGCTATGAACCTACTTTTGCCCACCCCTGAACTCGTTCGCTCGCTTCAAATCTGAGCTGAAATACAATGAAACACGCCGGTGGGCAGACAAGAAAGCTGAGAGCGTGCGGCTGTGGGAACCACGGCATCATTCTTGGCCACGTGCCTTCTGACAGTGAGGTAGAGAAAGTCCCTCTGCGGAAGAAAGTGTGACGACGGCAGACGTTCGTCACAGGAACTGGCAACGAGAAACCACGTGGCCCTGAGAAAGAGGAGGGGGAGGACGGTGACATCCTGACGCCTGGCTCCGCTTCCCCGCTGTGGGTCCACAGAGGCCCCCTGAACACAGCCCACCCCCTGCACTGTGAGCTCCTATTCCAGGGACGCGGCGGCTGGGGAAATAAACAAACAAATAAACAAAAAATAAAACTGTTAAATTTGTTTGCACTGTATTTATCTTTGCCATTACCTTGTATTCGTAGTGCAGGTCATGTTGGGTTTTCACTATTTTAACAATATTAAATTTCATTTTGAAATAAGTTTAAGGGAAAAAATAGAGCTGTGCCAATGATAGCGAGTATTTATCGAGTGGCTACTATGACCATGAACTTCATGTATTTTATTTCTAATGTGCTCAACACTTCAAGGAACCACTGTCTCCATCTCACAGCTGTGGTGACCGAGGACCAAAGAAGCTAAGAAATACGCCCAAAGTCAGATCCTAGTGACGGAACAAGGGTTTGAAACAAGTTTGTCTGCCCCTCAAGTCCATGCTCTGCCCACCTTCCCACCCTGTCTCCTGGGCACTGGATTCTACCGTCTGAACCCAAGCTCGGCAGACAGCTCCGAGCTGGCACCGTCCGGCAGGCGTCGCTCAGACGATCGCCTCTGCACGCTCTGCTGGGCCCGACACTGTCGCCTCCCCGAGTTCCTCCCCTGGTTTGCCTTTGTCCAACTTCTCTCCGCTCCCTAGTCATGTCTCTGTCTCCATTTCTGGCCCCACCTCCCCAGGCGTTGATTTTTTTCCCTCATTCTTGCTCTAGATCATTGAAAAGCAACATCCGTCCCAATGAGATCTGAGTTACAGAGCAAGGTCCCCTTTTATGAGCAGAGTAAGCCCTGTTCGCTGGCCACATTTCATAAGGGGGGCGCCTGAGGCTCGCAGGAGGACTCAGCTTATCCAGGTAAGCAGGGCGAGTAGCCGGGACGGGAAGACGTGGGCCCGGACCCTCGGGCTCGGGCAGCGAGGAAGGGGACTCGGAGTGTGTGTGTATGTGGTGTGCACGCATGGGGGGCGGGTTTCTGTAGGGTCAGACACGGAGATGGGAGGAACGTGGGATTGGAGGGTGGAGAAAGAGAGAAAACAGAAGGCAATTCATGCAGGAAAAGGGTGGCCTTGCAGGCAGGGCGGCAGCTGGTCCTAGGAGAGAACGCGTCTGGACGGGGCTCTCAGCGAGAGGGCAGAGTGAGCCCATGGGCTTAGGAAGTCGGTAAATTATACCGATTGCGAGCGTTCCCTTTCTGTCCTGTAACTCCATCTGATATGCCCAGGCTTCAGCTAAGGGAGAGGTGACCCGGGAAGTGCCACCTCCCTGTGGAGTTCCTCCCTGAGGCCAGAGTGCTGGGCGATTCTGCTCTAGGAGCTGGAGTGACCGGCACCAAGCAGGTGTGGTCTCTGGTAGACAGCGAGGGGCCCGGCAACAGCGAGAGCAGCAGAGCAGACCGAAGCAGGGAAGGTCCTGAGGGCAAGTCCCTTTTCCGCAAATAAAACACAGTAGCAGCCTCGGGTCAGGAGGGGAGACAGGGCCCTGCTGTCCCCTGGCAGTGGCGATGCGGGAGGTCTCCCGGGCCATGCTGTGTCCTTGGTGTTGACACACGAATACAAACAGGAGGCAGAGGCAAGGGCTTGGATTATGAGCTGCCTTGGAACCAAGCTACACACCATGTCACTAGGACAGAGTCCCCTCGGTGTTCGAGTGAGTCCATCTCATGGTATTGGGGGAGAGCGTTTGGGGTCAGAATCATCTAAAGTTGAACTGCTGAAGCCACACGTGACTTCTGTGGATCTCAGCTTCCCCGTCTGTAAAGTGAAAGTAAAAACATTGCCCTCGCCCGAGCGGCGTGGCTCAGTGGTTGAGCATCGATCCAGGAGGTCACAGTTCCATTCCCAGTCAGGGCACATGCCCAGGTTGCGGGCTCGATCCCCAGTAGGGGGCTTGCAGGAGGCAGCCGATCAATGACCCTCTCATCATTGACGTTTCCCTCTCTCTCTCCCTCTCCCTTCCTCTCTTGGAAATCAATAAAAACATATTTAAAATAAAACATTGCCCTCACCCCATTACCGTGAAAATTAACTGTAATAGCAGAGGACAGGGCCTCAGGTGACAAGGCTTCACTGACTTCCTCGGCCCTGGGCCCCTAGCCCGCCCCCACTCCGGGTTCTGCTACCACAGGGCAGAGCCTACCTTTGGTCAGGGAGTGAATCCCGAGCTTGACTTGGGAAAAGTTCCCACTTCCAATCTCCCCTCGGATTCTGTAGAAGCCGATCCGCTTCCCCAGCGTGATCTCTCTCACCACCTTCTCATCTTGGGACATGTCCTGGGTCAGCTTCTCGAAGGGTGTCAGCCGGCGAGCCTGCCCCTCGCCCTCCTCCTGGTTGCACTCCGCCTGACAGCCGCTCTCCACGCTATCCCGCCGATCCCACCTGGCGTAGGGGGGGTTCACCAGGCTGCCTCCATTCACACACACTGCTGTCATCGTCACCGTCACCGCAGGCTCACGTCTCCATCTCCGCGAAGAGGCAGCGATCAGGGGCAGGCTGGGAGGAGCAGAAGAGGCCCGGTGTGGGGTGGGAGTTAGGGACAGCCTGGCAGGGCCTGCGGGAGGCCGGGAGCCTGCAGAGCTACCGGGCCCAGCCCAGAGCTGCGGGCCTCACGGGAGACATCCCCACCTCCCTCGTGTTGGACGTCCCAGCTCTAACTGTGCCCTAGGGCACACATCCAGTCCCCACGGCCACGTCCCGGTCAGGCTGCAGGAAGTTCCTGGCCGCAGCGCAGTCTGGTGCTCTGTGGTAGGTGGCTGTGTCCTGGGACAGACGGTGCAGTTTGCTATTTCCTTTGATGGCCAGAGACACTCTCACTCTGGAGGCCGCGGGGCCCCTGCTGCTGGCATTTATCTCTGACCTTCCTCATTTTGCACTGCTCCTGTCGGCTGGTCCCAGGGCCTGAGACCTAATAACACGGAGCCCGGGAGAGAAGAAACCTGCAGATCAGCCTTATGGTCACACGGGGCGAGCAGCGCGAAGGATTAGATCCCCACGACGTCACTTTAGCCGGCCTTTATTTAGATGAGCCTTCCGCTAAGCCGCGAGCTGTCTCAAAAATTTGGCAGGTGCTGGTTTGTCCTAAGAACAGAGAGGAGGAAAATGTATTCATTAGCAAGGCTAATAAATGTACAGGACTTATAACAAATGCGGGGCTGCTCTGTAAGAGCCGACCTGAAAGCACTATGCGAATTTCAGCTGTGACAGGGCCCGCAGTAAACGCCGGATGACATGGGATTTAGCAAGGAGACAATATATGTGCACACGCCCCTCGGTCTGCATTTTAGAAGAGCCCTCCCAGCCTGCAAATACCTCTAGCAAAACAGTTTTTCTATTTTTTGATGTTTAGGAAAACATGCATGTTGCTTTGGGTTGCTTTAAAGCCAGATTTTTAAAAATTATGATAATCATGATGATAAAGATTTTCTATTAATACCAGTTTTCAAAAGTTCTTACATTGATTCTGGTGATAATGTTATATTTCCAATGTGTGCTCAGGTGTGCCCTCCTACAACTTCTCCTATACTTTTTGCTCCTACTCTTTCTGGTGTCATTCTATGACTAAGGCTAAATAAGTCTTATTTCCCAGGTATTTCTGATCAGGTGTCGGCCTCCAGGCCCAGCAGCTCATTGTGAAAGTGCAGGGACCGAGGGGACTGTTACCAAGGGTGAAAGTCTACGGCATCCTCAGTGATAAGAGACACTGCCCGGCTAGACTGTCTTCGAGACCTTCTTTCCCGCATCCTCGGGTAGGAAATAACCACTCCCTCTCTGAGTCCCCACGGCGCTTTGAGCGTTTTCCAAAATGTCTCACCTCCGCGAAGGTGGGACCTGTAGGTCCTGCTCCCCTCCCGTCTCCCTCGGCTCGGGGCATGATGCCTGCATAAGGCAAGTGTCGATAACTGTGCGTTGAACTTGATTTTTGGATTTGAGCATCACCTTGAAAATGTGAATTTCCAGTTCTGTTTGTTGATATCACATTAATATGGTTAAGTACGGGACTGCCTATATTGTGTCCAGTCAAAAAGCACCAGATACCTGAGCGAAGGCTCCAAAAGGAAAGCAAGAGAGGTACCCAATCAAAACAATGACAACCAAAAGGAACCTGAAGGAAACAGCAATGCAGGGAGCAGGGGACAAACCAGAAACTGAGAGAGAGGGAGGGAGAGAGAACAAGCGCTCTCTTGGGAACTGAAATTAAAGAATTCATTGAAGAGTGGTAAGAAAATTCTAGAAGAGATAAACAATAGAGAAAAAAGACAAGAAAACCAGGTAACCAATTCAGGAAGCCCAACATCTAACTGTTATAATTTCTAGAGTGACACTATTGTCCTCCCAATGAAGTACGACATGTGGTTTCTATTGTACTTGAGCTGCCAGCAAATCTCAGAAATTTCAAAAATAGTAATAAGTGAAGAAAAAACTCTGGGTTCTTACATATTCCAATAGAATAAAAAAAGGTAGATGAAAAAAATCTTAGCAGGAAAGATAAATCCTGACTGGGTGTATAAATACTGATTTTTATCTGGCAAAACATTTTTTTTCCCTAAAATTTTTCTTGGGTGTGTGGAAACAGAACTCCTGATTCTGGGCGGTGGGATTGCTAGAAAGAGTTTATATTTGGATTACTTTCCAGCTACATCCTGTTGAAAGCTAAGCAAGTAACGGCAATTACGACACACCTGATTGCAGATTTCGTGAAATTCCCCTTTCTTAGATGCAACTGTGGTTTGTTGTGATTTTACCTTTGGCCCTTTTGAATTTGACCAATGTTTATGGACAGGAGTGAGAGCTTAGGAACCCAACGGGCCAAAACGATGGAGTCCCGCCCTTGTGGATCAGAGCTCTGGTGCAGGCAGAATGGTCCCTAGATGTTAACTTACTGTGGCTGCATAGCAATGCGTTCAACAAGATTAAAGAACACGGAGCTTGCTTGGTCATTTATTTTCTTGACTTGCAATCCGCTGTGAAAATAATATCAAAGAAAACCATCTTGCCTTTGTTCTCTTTGTCTGAGTTTAAATTACAAAACTTCTGGGCAAGGCTCTCAGGCATCGTAGCAAAAGAATGCAATGAAAGCCAAGTCTTTCTCCCCGCTGCTGCATCCTCGGGGGGAATTATTAGCAAACACGCTTCGTTTGAAAGTCCAGTTTTACATTTAAAAATCATTTGTACTGTCTCAGCTCTTGGCTGTAGCTCTCTGTTTCTCACCACACATGTCAAGGTCCCCATGGGCAGAGGAGGCAGCTGGGAAACTTGGGAGCAAATGGAAAATCAGTGTGAACGGGTTGTGCCCTAGTCACCACAGCAGTGCTGCTCCTTGGTACTGCTTCTCGTCCCTCCTGATCGCAGGCTACTTTCCCGGCCTTGGACCCGGGTCTCCCGCATTCCATTGGCCACCCATAGTCAGTCCACCCCTGCCGATGGGCTGACATCAGCTCTTCCCACATGGAGTTCTATACACTTGAGGCTCCTCTGACCATCAAGCTCACCGACCCAAATGCCTGGGGGTGGCATGCAGGTGTCCCATGGGGCTCCGTACAGCACCACGCCCCTGATGATGAGGCGGCCCATGCCCAACTCCGGCCAGGAGGCCATGCTGGGACGCAGGCTTACTTTTGTCAGGCCTTTTCATTCTCTAAAAGCAACTGGAAATCAAGACATTTTTGGTGAGCTCTTCCAATTTTTAAATGGTGGATTAAGTCTTTTTAAAACATCGTATGGCCCAGTTAACTGAACCATCAGGCTAGATTTGGCCTTCAGGTTGCCAGTTTTCAGACTGCTCTCAGTTTTCTAGGTACATCATCAGAAAAAAAGGGGAGGACAGTCATAGGGCCCTAGTCAAATACATCCGGGAATGGTGCGTATGATACCACTCTTAGGTATTGCATTAGTGCCTTAGTCTTGTGGCATTTCACACACACACACAAGTGCACAGGCAGAATCTGTTCATTACCGTGTTCTCCAAGTTTAGTTAACCACCCAACTCACTCTCACAGAGCACCTGCTGTCACTGGCATTTTTCTTACAACTCTGCCCTCAGAGTTAGACAATGAACTGAACAGAATGGAGCCACGAACTGAATCACAGCAGGTGGCCCTGAGCAGAAAACAAAGTGGGTTCTTCTTCAGAAATCGCTAATTTAGAAAACACCGAGGGGGGGACATTCTTGCCTATTTGCAGCTTGTGGTTTATTTTTAGGAGATTAAAAATGTCTGCAAGTCAGAGCAGAACTGCTCTTTGGCTGCCTTAAAACTTCCTTCAATTCTAATGTCGTGTGCTCACTAAGAACGACGTCTGGGTGACGGTGGCCTCAGAGGATGTTAGAAAAGACATTCTTTTCGTTTGAGCAGAATTCAAGCAAGTCTTAGAGCAGGAGGCTGGCGGGCCGCAGCCATGGAGGAGGAAAACCTGGCTGTAGAGCCAAAGCTCTTACTTTAACAAAATCAAGTGGACCTTGACACCTTTGTTAAGGGCCTCCCATGACTCATAAGTGATCCCTTCGCACACTAGAAGCAATACGTCTGAGAATTCTTAAATATTTACCCAGCCCTGGAGGTAAGCGAGGGGTGCTGGTGCCAGGGGACAGGAGAGAAGCTATTCATATAAAAAAACGGAGCAAGTGTCAGTGTGCAATAGCAATCTGAACGGACAGAATAGAGAATATTTTTTAAGAAAGATATTCACCAGCCAGCGTGGCTCCATTGGCTGAGCATCGTTCCATGCACACGGAGGTCGCCGGTTCTACTCCAGGTCAGGGCGCATGCCCGGGTTTCGGGCCCGATCCCCAGTAGGGTGTGCGCAGGAGGCAGCCGATTGATGTTTCTCTCTCATCAATATTTCCATCTCCCTCTCCCTCTCTCTGAAATCACTAAACACATATTTTAAAAATAGATCTTCATTTAATATGTAACAGAGATGGCATTTCAAACCACTGGCAAAAGATAAATGATTCCACAGATCACACTTGCCAGGACTAAATGAAGAGGCATTTTAAGTAGGCTTTAGCTCTCCATCACCTCAAATTCTCCACCAGATGCCCCCTTCTTTGGTATAGATAATGCATATTTTCTTAAATTAATATAAGGTGCCATGCAAATGATCAGAGAGGCTCACTCCTTTCCAGTAATATTACTATCCCAAGACCCACCCATATAGAAATTCTGGAGTTCCTGTTGGGTGTTAGGACACCAGCATATGTATGTCCGTGTTTATCTGTATTTTCATAGAGAAAGGTTTGACAGAATACTGGGAGTTGTGAAAACTTTATTCCTTTACCAGTTATCGGTACACGACACGACTTTGAGAAACTCTGCTTTTCAGGGAGATTCTCCCAAATTAAACCACCAAATGGAGGTGCGGGGGGGAATAAGGGCGGATTCAGAGTCAGAACAAGGTTAGGGTGTGGGCTTTCCCACTAAATATCTGTGTGGCCTTAATCAAGTCCCTCCCCCTCTCTGGGCTTCAGTGTCCCTACTGGCAAGTGAGAGTGTTGGACATCATGATGCCTAAAGATCCTTCCAGCGCTAACTTCTGAGATTCTCTATCTAACAGCAAAGGGAGGGTTCCAGAACATTTGTGAAAAACAAAACAACACAAAACCC